GTCATTACTGGATGCTATCAGCTAGCCACTGAAAGCAACAACTTGGAGCTGAGAACTGGCTCTGGGGGCTGCCTGCTGGGACAAGATGTGGAGGGAGTTGGCCCTTCTCCCCCACTGGGCCAGCTGGGACCAGGTCATGCAGCTGTGTGAGGTCAAGAGGAGATGCCCTCACAGGGAGCACAGGGCCAGATCTGGGGGGCTGTGGGCCTCCACTGCTGGGTGCATGGTTGTCACAGCCTGGCTGTGGCACTGGGATTGAGGCCCTGCCCTGGCAGAGTGGCTCAGGGCATCGGTAAGGGCCTGAAGCACCTGTGTTTCTAGCCCTGGTCTCGCACCAGTGTCCTGGCCCACTGGCATTGTGCCCCTGTGTCTGTCTCTCTGGCCACCCTGTCTAGGCTCAGCTTCCCCAGGGAGGGCCATGAGCTCAATGCAGGATGGAATGGGGCAGGAGGCTATGGCTGCATCAGGGCCTACTGAGGTGTGGGGCTACAGGGGAAACAAGGATCACAGTGCAGCAGGGAAGGGCTGGCCTCTGGGGGATCCCAGCTCTGTCCAAACCCTGCTAAACACGTCCTGGTCTGAGATATTCCATGCTCCACCCTGTGGCCTCATGACCAACCACTTTGCCCCCAGAGCCCCCAAATCTGCCCCAGGGCAAGCCGGGGGCTGGCAGGGTCTGGAGGCTGCCAGGGGTGTTCATCTGCACTGCAGAGATTCCAGACAGAGACCAGGACCCCACTTCAGAGGAAAGACAGATCCCCCAAGTCCGTGCTGATCTAAGCAAGGGGGGAATTGTCTTCCCGACCCCAATGCAGTGTCAAGCTGAGCCTGAGCAGAGGGGCAGATTTTTTAGCCAGGAGCCTTGGGTCTAAGTCCCAGCAGGACTGGCACATCTTATCACCACCCTTTCAGCCTGGGCTGTAGCCAGCACTGGATGCTGCTGAGGTGGGGAAAAAACTCAGACCCTGGTAGCAGCAAGGGGGTGTGGAAGTACCTGCCTGCCCCCATGTGGCCTTCAGCAAAGCCCAGAAGCCTGGGAGAACTGGACCCCTCCGGTCTGCTCTGTGCTCTGGGGTTGCAGGGGGATCTGCTGGGCTGGGATCCAGCTCTGAGCCTTCTCCCCACAGTTCTTGTGGGGGCCAGGGGTATGGCAGTCCCTGGAGGCTGCTGCTGTGTCTCCCTCCCCACCAATGCCCTTGCAGGGCAGCTGTCTGGGGCTGCCGTTGCCAGCTATGCCCAGAGGTGCCTGCCTGCTGTGGGCTCCAGCTGGCAGCTCCATCTCCTGCCCTCCTCCCCACCCCCCGCAATCTGGGCAGAATGGCGCTCCCGAGAGCCAGCCACAACCACAGCAGAGCCCCAGCTCATAGCCACCTTAACGTCTGCACTGTCGCAGCTGGTGGCAGTTCATCAGATAAGGGGTTGGGGGTGAGGGCTGGTTGGGGAGGCAAAGACCACCCCACCCTGAGGCCTGGCCACAGCACCCCCCCACCAGCTGCCCCCCACTGCAGACACACACTGATCCATCTCCTGAGGCTCAGAGATTTCAGCTGGGTGGTAGATTTCCCTCCCCCTCAACCATGGGGAAGCTGAGTGCTGTGAGAAGGCAAGTACCAGAGTTTATGGTTGCACGTGGCGAGGAGGGTGGAGGGAAGCGGGGGCTTGAAAGAACCTCAAGGAGCAGCAACAGCTGGGGCCTGCTCCTGCCTCACACTGGACACCTGTGTGAGGTGGTGCTCCAACAACTGCTGGCAGAGACTGGGGCAATGCATGACTGCGGGAGCCTTTAGACCAGGGAGGTGTGTGTGTGTGCATGTTCATGAATGCACGGGCAAGTGCATGTGTGTGCATGACTGCGAGTGTGTGCAGGAGTATTGTGCACGTGCAGATGAACAAGAGCATGTACCTGTGTCCAGGTTTGTGCAAGCGCATGTGAGGAAGTGTGCTTATGCACCTATATGTAAATGTGTGCCAGCAAGATTGTATGTGTTCATGTGTGCACAAGTGTAAACGTGCACAATCATGCAAGGGTATGTGTTTATGCATCTGTGTATGAGCGAGGACATGCAAGAGTGCAAGTGCGTGCATGTGCCAGTGTATATTCATGTGCGTGCATGCAAGCAGATGAGTGTGTGCATGTATTCATGTCATCAGGCAGCCAAGCATGTGCAAAAGCCTACATGTAAGTGCAACACGTGTGGGTATGCATGAGCACAAGATCCTCACACCTAGTATGACCTACCGTCCCGTGTGCCCACATCATGTCTTCTCCCAAGTGACCAGCAGTGACTAATGCTAGGTCAGCAGCCAGGTCCCGTTGTGTCAGGTACATGCCTGATCCACAGAGCTCCCCAGGCCTGGCTGTTACCAACATGCAACGCTTGGGAACATGTCACCATGCTGCTTTCTACAGCTGCCATCCCTCAAAGCCCCACATAGCACGGTGATCTCTGACCCTGCCCTGCTCCCAGGATCCCCACTCAAAAACTGCTGGCAACTATAGGCACTTAAGGAGAGGTGGGCAGGGAAAGGCCAGCTCGCTCTGGCCTGCTTCCCTGTGCCCACCTTGGCTGGTGTTGGTTAGGAACCGCAGCTCTGATCTAAGCCATAAGCCTGGACACAAGTTGCTCATACCGTGGACAGGGAAAAAGCCCCAGTTAGGCTCGGAAGCGGCGAGAGACGCGCGGGTGAAAGCCTGCTGCGCCCCTGCTCCCCCGAAGCCCCCCAGAAACCCTCCAGCAGCCGCGGAGCCCCCCGCCGACTCCCAGCACAGCCGGAGGTAAGCGGGGCCCGTGGAAAGAGGGGGCTAACCCCTTAGTGAGTGGGAGGAGGCAGCTGAGTGGAGCCGGGCCGGGTCAAGCCCCGCCCAGGCCCCTACTTCGCCCAGCCCCCCAGGGAGCCACACAACCGGAGCCGCGCGAACAGGCTGCGCAAACAGGCGCACTTCTCTGCTGGTGCGTGAGTTAGCGAGGAGTTCGTGCGGGAGGGCCCAAGACCCTGCCTGTGCACCCCGCAGGGTAGACAGTCCCAGCCGTAGCCAGCCTACCAGAGACATGCCACGGATGGGCACGCGCCGCACCCCGAGGATTCCCTCGGGCTCCGCGGCCCACCCCCCTCTGGCAACTCAGAGACGGCCACCCAGACGGAGCCCCTGGTTCCGGGCTCCACGCAGACAGAGCCCCTGGCTCTCAGCTGCGGGGGCTGCCTGTCCCTTTTTCAGGCTCTGGGGCCTGGGAGCATGGTTACCTCCCCTTGTGGGGTCTGCTCCCTTTTGGGGTCTCTGGCGCGCCAGCTAGAGGGGCTCCAGGCCACAGTCCGGCGACTGCGTGCCATGAGGGACTGCGAGCAGGAGATAGACTCCTACTGCCAGGGCCTTCTCCCCCAGGAGGTGGAGGGTAGACCACAGTCTCCCTCCAGGCCAAAGGATGCCTCCGGGACTTCCCGCTCTGTCCAGCCAGGGGCATGGACCAAGGTGGTCAAGGGCCCTAAGGCCTGCCGCACCAAGGCCCCTCCCCCGCCAGAGCTGAGCAACAGGTACACACCTATGAGCAGCTCCTTGCACGGAGGTTAGAAATGGGCATCTGATCTGCCACACTTACCTGCTGGTCCTGCAGCTGCCGGATAGTGCTTTGGGCTTTCTGCAGGTTCTCGGTGGCCAAGCTGCACTGCTGCTTCACTACGGCCAGCTCCCGCTTGATGATGTAGTTCTCCTCAGCCTCCTGTGCCCGTGTCACTTGGCCCTGGATGAGGTTGCAGGAGGGACAGAGAAGAGGGGTGGGAGGTAAGTGCAAAGTAAATTTCCAAGATGTTCCCAATCCTCTCCCCTGGCTGTGGCGCAGCAAGATGGGACCCCAAGGGAGAACTTGACACCCACCTACCCTCCCTGGTGAGAGAAAAGGGGGGTGGGGGGGCATCTGAAATCACTTAGGCCTGGGTGCTACAGCACCTGGCATCTGCTTTCCAGTCTAGGAATGGGAGCATCAGACAGCCATGGGCTGGGAAAAGGGATCCTGGCTTGTGGCCTCTGATATCCAAGGGAGGTTGTTCAGATCAAGGGGCTGTGTATCACGATGCTGGAGCTGGGTGAGGGGAGGGAGGAGGGTCCACGTATGTGATACTTAGGAAAAATCTGTTTGCAGGTGGCTCAAAGGACATGATCACACTCACCCTACCCACCCCACCACCTGCAAAAATGCCTTTGAGCAGCAGGGAGGTAGCACCAATGGGGAAACTGAGGCATGAGGGGGGCATTGTGCTTGAGATATGGGAAACCTGGGGGATTCTGCCTGCTCCTATGCTGCCACATGTACTCCCAGCTGTACACATGCCTCCACAAGTGACTACTGATCACACCAGCCTGGGAACAGTGTCACCAAGGGGTCTGAATGCTTGGATTCTAGCCTCAGCGATAGGAGCCCTTGTCTGTTGGGAGTCAGAGCCAGGAGGGCAGGGAGGCAGACAGGACAGGGCAGGGAGCTGTTTGGGGACAGCTTGGCAGAGTGGTCAGGGCTGGGAGGAGCTGGTAATTAAGCTGAATTGGTGATGGTGTTACTGGGCTGAAGCAGCCCCGAAGCCAGTGCTCTGGGGACAGATGCGTTGGGGACTTCTGAAGGACAAGTAGAGTGACACTGAGGTCCAGCCTGCAAGGAAGTACAGTGTGCATGTGTAAATGGGGCGCACCCCCCCAAGGATCATGTATTCTATCCACACCCCAAGCCAGTGGGGAGCTCATTCCCTCCAAGCATGTACAGCACCTGGCATGAGGGGGTGTGTACTCTGTGTGCACCTAGCAAAACAGGGATCATGGGCTGCGTGTTCACTCCACAATTGGAGCTGTCTACTTGGTGTGCATACACATGTGAGACTGGTGTCTACCATAACAGGTGGCACACACTGTGTGGGTCTTATATAGCAGGGTGGGGGTATTATATACTTTATATTCAGAATGGGAAATACCATATTTTCCTACATACAAGATGTACTATTCCCCCCCCCCAATCTGCGCATGACACCTGTCACTAGGAGACCCAGTTTTCTCTGCTCTGCCTTGGGATGACAAAATGTGGTTCCACTGATGACCTCTGAGCATTTCTTAAAGGGATGGGGTGGGGGGTTGTGAGGCAAAATTCTCCCCTTGTCAGCCTATGTAGGGCTGCTTCCATTTCAGAGATAATTGCATTTCTGGGTGGGCTGGCTATAGCTGGGGCTTTGGGATGGCACCCATATGATGGAGCAGGGAATTTTCTTCTCAGGGTGGGTTTAGGGGGATCTGGGCAGGGTCTGGACTAGATAGCCACAAGCTTTTAATGACACAGCAGCAGCCTGGAACTTTCTTGTGCTCCCTGCATCAGCTTTAAGGCCTCAGCAGATCTCTGATAGGTGCAGGGAGCAGGACGCTGCCTTTAATCAGCTTTGCTTCATATCATCAGGAAAGGAAACCAGTGAGGGAGGGGTTTTCCCCTGCCCTTAAACAGCTGCCACCCTGCTGATGTGGCTATGCTCCAATCATATATAGCTGAATGCAAGGAGGAAGGGGCCTCAGCTAAAGCAAGAGGGGAAAAAGGGGGGTAGGGGAAAGGGAATCTAAGCCTTCAGGTCAGAGCTATTTACCTCTCCCTGAAGAGGCACAGGCCTGTGAAAGGGGGATTTCTGGGAACTGCAAGCAGTGGCAAGGGTTTTGTCTGGCTCCAAGGCTGGGTGTTTTTAATGCCTAGATGCAGCCATGCTACATGCATTCATGGCTTGAAGCTCTGGGCTCCCAGGTGCCAGGAGCTGGGTCTCCCATCTCAGGCTACTAACAGCCACTATGCCCTGCCCTGAGCAGGTGACCTGGCAGCTGCTGGCTGAGACAGGGGCTGGGCATGATGAGCAAGGTGGGTATTTCTCATCTCACTGAAATCCAACTGCAAGGGGAACTGTTTTTTGCAATGAGATGGAGCAAGGCAGGTCTCTGGCAGGCCAGGCACTTGGGGCCTGTGGTAACTGGGGAGGGAGTATAATAAGGCTCCCTTTTGCTGTATGGCCCTGCTCTGTGGCATGGAGTTTGCTGTTCTCAGGGCTGCCATGCTCCCTGCACAGCTGTGGGCCTGTCCTTTCCTCCCTGCCTCTTAGTTCCTCCCTTCTGTATGCAAGGGGAGGATGGGGCAGGGGGGGGCATAATCACTGCCTCTCAGGTCTGCCTCTGTACAGCCCCAAGCACGGACATCAGATGAGTTATACCTTGGGGGGACAGCCTTTGCTGGGAAGCAGGTTAAGACTGGGCCCTAATTTCATGAGGCAAAGAGTTTTTTGTGGGAGGGCAGGGTAGGGGAGTAGTAATCTCTTTTAGTAGGTTAAATGCATGGCTGGTTTCAGTCTGGGCCCAGGGCAGGTAGGGGTGAGGCTTTCCATAAAGTGGGATGGATTTTCAGCCAGAAACCCAGGGCTAAATTATATATGCACCTTAGTAACTGAGGCAGCTAGGATCACACCCAGCACCCTGTGGTTTCATCAGCATGTGCTTCTACAACTTCAGTAGCATCTCCTCTCAAAGACAATTCAAGTCTGGCTAGAAGACCAAGGCCCCAATCTCCAGCTAATCAATTTTGCTGGAGTCATGTCAATCTCACCAAGGAGAGAGATCTGATTTAGGGCAGTGGAGGCTCAGGTTCCCAGTTCTTTCTAACAAGCTCCTTCTCCCACCTGAAACCCCCTTAAGCCTGGATACAAAGGAGGGTTCCTTTGTGAGCCCTTGGCCCGGCAGCCTTGCCACGACCCCGCGTGAAAGAGAAAAACCAGAGCGAGGGCCCAGCCTGGCTCGGGGGCAGTCTCTGGTTTCCAGGCTGGAATAGAGAAGAGGAGAGCGTGATGAGAAGGGTTTACAGTACCTGGATGAGTCTGTCTGCCAAGGCAGCACTCTCCTACGGCAGATCCAGGCAGGGAAGGAAAGACGGAGGAAAGAAAGAGAGACAGAGAGAGAGACAGCAATCACCAGAGTCACACAAGCGCCCCCGCTATGGCTCGAAGCACAGAACAGAGCAAGGTGGAAGCAGCAGGAGAACCCAGAGGAGCCCAGGGAGATGAGAGCACCCAAGAGACCTCTTCTACTCCACAGCAGGCAGGACCAGTGATCCAAATGTTGGGCATGGGGGCAGGGAGAAGGGGCTAGGATCCATCCTTGGCTTGGATCCATGCAGCCTCTGCCATGACATAAGCAGCACAGTGAATCCCCCACCTGTAGCACAGGCTATCCTAGCTCTGCGTTCCCAGGGTGATGGAGGATCTCAGTGGTGACAGCTGGAGGGGGGATGTTGCTGAGGGGGGGCACATGGGCAGGGGGCTCGATGCCCTTGATCTCTGGGCTGATAGCTGGAGAGTGCCTGGCCTCTAAGGCCCAATCAGTAGGGACCATGAACAAGTCGTGAACCTCAGTGGTTCAGTGCCTCCTAAGTGCCAGGGCATGGCTGCGCCAGGCACCTTGACCCCTTCACGTCAGGGGAATAATGAGGGATCCTATTTTCTTTATAGAAATTCCACCACCCCACCTTAAACTTTATTTTGATCCAATTTAAAGGGCATCTACTACACGCACAGCAACCAAGTGAGCATGAGGCAGGTTTCAGCAAAGGCTGAGGCAGCCAAAAGGGGCTGCAGGTCCAGACAGTGGTAGATGCACACATAAAATCAACAACATGGAGAGACAAAGAGATCAGGCGCTCTGCTTTGAGGACGGCCCCCCCGAGATGCCCTCGTATGTGGGAACTCAGGACTCTCCAGGACTGAGGCAGGCTGCTTAAAGGCTTTCAACCCCAGTTCAAGCAGTAGTCCGGGGACTGGGTGTTGGATGGCTGGAGACTGAAGTAACACTGCAATGGTCCCCTCCCAGACTCTGGCCAGGCCATGCCTGAGCTTCCATTAGCCAACATGGTTGTCTTAGATAGACAGTGATGATGCTGGGTAGTGGGGGATGGGGGGGGAGATGAGAGCTGCCAGGAGCAGGCTAGCAGTCGCCCTGATGGGGCTGGGTGCCAAGCGTGAGCTTGGAGAAGTGGCTGTGCAGGGCTTCGTTTTTGGCAGCCAGGCTAGTCTGGAAGCCCAGGAGGCGGACACGGACGCGGCCTGGCATGGCCCTCACCTTCTCCAGAGTCTCAATGCGCTGCTTCAGGAGACGGTTCTCAGTCCTGAGTCGCTGTGGGGAGGAAGGGCTAGTAGTAAGCTGGGGTGTGGGGGGCCAGGGGGTTTAAAACAGGGGTAAGGATGGAGGTGATTTAAAAAAAGGACTAATTGCACAGCTGGGAGAGGATGGACAATACTTTCCTCAGGTCTGAGGAGAAAAAAAGGCAGGTGTAGCCTGAGGTTCAGTAGCAGAGAAGACTCCATGGACATGGACAGCTTGCTTATGGGATGGAGGGGAGCTGGGTGCTAGGAGGGAAGAGGTGTTACTGGGAGCTCCCCAAAAGGCAGGAGAACAGGCAGCAAGTCAGCTGCAGTTCAGAACAGGACAAGTCTGCCCCCTACTGAACATGGGCTGATATCACAGCAAGCAACGAGCATGGAGCTGCCATGGTGGGCTGTGGATGTCCCACCAGATCTGTGGCAGGCTCCAAGAGGGATTCACATAGCACTTTTCACCCCCATACAGGGATCTGCGTTCTGCATGTAGGCATCATACCATGCTTGTTTCTCAAGTGCAGCCACTACTGGGGTGAAGCACGGCAGCCATCTAATGGCACAAAAGTGAAGTGGCTGGAGGTTATCACTGCACCTGGGAGGCATTGGGGAATTCTCAGCCTCTTGGCACAAAGCTCACTGGGCTCCCTTCTGCTGCAGGGGCATGGAGAGAGGGTGAGAGGGGTGGAGACAGGACTCACCTTGATCTCAATCTGCTCCTCCATCTCTTTGTTCTTGATGGCTGCATACTCTTTCTCCAGCCTGTACAGACACAAGCCAGGATGGGTTGGCTCTGATGCTCCTGCCCTCCCCTGCTGAGGCAGGGCCTGGTGCCAAGGTCCTGGCAGCTGCAAGTCTCACAGACTGCAGTCTCTAGGCCCAATGGGGTGGGTTCCTGACTCTGGATTAGGAGTCTCCTCCATGCCCTGATCCTCATACGACCCTTCCCTGGTACAAGAGGTTTGGAGTCTCCAGAAAGGAGCTAAAGAGCCCTGGAATAGGCCCTGCCACTAGGTCTGGTCTCCCTATTTTCAGCTCTTTTCTCCTGAGTCAACTGCCCCAATGTGAATCTGTCTGAAACAAATCTCCCCAGAGAGGAACGCAGGAAGCGAGAGCTTCCATGGCCAAAGCTAGGAGCTCTGGGCTGGGGCTGAAGCCACAATACACACAGACACGCACATGCTGCCTTCCCCTGCCAGGATACCAGAGGCTGGGCTGCCCCATAGACACCCACCTGGCAGGGTATGATGTGAAAAAGCTTTTATGGCCTCCTGCCATTCCAGCAGCCTAGGCCCATGACACTCACTTATTTCACTGCAGGTGGGCTGGTGTGGGGTGGGGGGGAGGAGTCTCACTAATCAGGGGCTGGGCTTGGCTTGGGATGGGGGCTAGGGAGGTCCCCGATAGGGACTTAGCTGCAGGGGGAAATGATGGTGGGGGCCAGGGGGTCTCTGTTGGAGAACTTTGCTCTGGAGGAAGGCAGGAATCCAGGTCTCTGTCAGGGACTTGGCTCAGGGTGGGAGGGACCGAGGGGGGCCAGGAGGTCCCTGCACTGTGCTGGGGGCAGGGGGGAAACACTCACCTCTTCATCTTCTTGGGGTTGTACTTAACCTGGTAGGCCCGGAGGATGAGCTTGTCAGGGCAGCTGTCAAACTGGTGGGGAATCACCTTTTGGAAGTGCTGGGGGCAGAACAGGAGCATAAGCTCAGCAATGTGGCTACCCAGGAGCCAGTGGACAGCAGCCCAGCCTCTCCCAACCCATCTTCCCCTTTGGCCCCCTGCCTCTCCCACCCTGCCTACCTTGTCTCTTCTGACTCACTTGAGGCCCTGAACAATGCCTAGGAACCTCTACTTTGCTTGCCAGGAGGTTTCAGAGTAGCTGTGAAATAAGGAACCTGCCCTGCTGAGCAAATACAGCCCAAACCTCCAGCACTGGCAGCAGGGGAAAGGTTGGAAGTGAGCGGGGGGTGCAGGCTGGAGTCAGCTGAAGCATGTCTAGGGATCTGGGAAATCCCCCATCCATTCAGGGTCTGGGGTCATGGATGGGCTCTCACCAGCAAGGCAGCAGAGGCTGCACACAGCATTCAATGCTCCACACCTTGCCAGGAAGGGGAAAAAAATCAAGGCACAGGAAATGGAGCAACTCTGCAGCCCCCCTCCTCCCAGGCCAAGCCCAGCTCTGCGACAGCTGTGCTGTGGGTCTAACAGAGTGGGGAAGCTATGGTGGAAAGTGAGGTCCTCCCACCTGGACACTGTGGTGGGGCTTCAGAGCTGGGATCACATCACTTGCTGTATGCCTATGGCCTGGCTGGCAGCATTAACCCTTGGTGTGGCATTGCCAGGAGGTACCTTAGAAGGGGGCTGGATCAGAGCCCAAGAATGTGGGTGGGGCTACTGCGCATGGGCAGAGCCATGTCACCCCAATATAGCATCAGGACCCTCTGTGCTGATGCATAACATCTAAGACCAAGCCCAGTTAGAGGGTAAACTGAGTATCTTCAGCCACTATTGGGTTAGAGGTCAGCCAACTAGGAAGCCCCCAGAAGGGTGGAGGGATGCCCCCCTGCCCCAGGTGTGATGTGGAGCTGTTCTGACCTGCGACATGCCTTCCATGTCCAGCTGGATGAGCTCTGCTTGGTTGAACTGCAACAGGGCCATGCCCACACGGAAGATGATCTCCAGCCCCTGTGGAGAAGCACCAGGGAAGGGTAGGGCTGGGTGTAGAAGCTCCCCAAACACTGGGATGTGGGGAAGGCAGGGGAGCCGAGAGCCTGCAACAAAGGCCCTTAACACAATGTTAGGGATTATTAAGAAGGGAACTGTGAAAAAAAACACTGAAAGTATCAGGCCCCTTTATAAATCCACGGTGCATCCACATCTTGGAAAAATTGTGCCCAGTTCTGGTCCCTATACCTCCAAAAGTGTTTAGAACTAAAGAAGGTCCAGAGAAGGGCAATAAGGATGATGAGTAGTATGGAGCATCTTCCATATTAACACAGACTAAACAGGCCTCTTCTGTGCAGAAGAGAGATGCTTGAAGGGGAATATAGGAAGGGTTTCATCATAAAATACTAAGTGGCGAAGAGAAAGTCAACAGGGATTTATTATTAAGTAGCTCTCACGAGGCAAGAACAAGGGGTCACAACATGAAACTAGGAGGCCATCAGTTTAAAACTAACAAGAGAAAGTTCTTTTTCCCCCCCAGCGTGAAATTAGAGTGTGGAACTCACTGCCCCCAGATGTGGTAGAAGCCGAGTTTAGCCAGATTCAAAAAGAGATTGGACACTATCTAGGAGGACAAGGGCATCAGTAGCTACTGAGCATGGGAGTGAGGGGCACGGCCTCTGAATCAGAACTTCCTAGACCTTAAATACTGAAAGTTGCAAGTGGGAGAGAGGAACAGGGGAGAAACCCTAGTCAGATCCCATTCACTCTCCTTTCCAGCCTCTGCTCTTTGCCTTTGTGTGACACGAGACTGGGCAAAAAGGACCTAGGGTCTGATCCAGGAAGTGCCAGTGGGCATGAGCTGCACAAGTTGACAATTAATTGCATAAAAAAGTCCTCTCCTGTTCATTTTAAACCTGTCTCCTGTTTGTTTCTGTGGGTGCCCCCAAGCTCTGGGATGTGGTATAAAAGAGCTGCATGGATTGGATGAGGGATAAGGCATAAAGTCCCTACCTAGATGACTAGCATAATCTCAGCTCAGGACAGCACAAGGAATTCAGTAGAATCTCAGGGAAAGCCTGAGGCTTCCTGATTAGCTACTTTATCTGGAAAGCCCAGCCCTTGTTGGATGCAGGGCTGTATCCAAGCTGCATTTGTTGGATGCAGCTTGGCTCCATCCAACAAAATCCGCAGTCAGGAGGAAAACTATGCTGGGATTTTTTTCCAGCTATTTATCCTGTCCCAGCTCAGTGCCCTTGGGGAGGTTTTGCATCTGGAGGCAGCTGTGGGCTGCCTCCCCCACAAATTTTGCCCCCTACACCTGCCTCACCTCGTACATGAAGATGTCGAAGACCCGGGTGGCCACAGGCAGCGGGAAGGTGGTGAGGAAGAGGGTGAGGAACCAAGACGAGGCGTACATGGAGGTGAGGAAGCTCTGGGAGCGGAAGTGAATGTTCAGTTCAGGCAGCTGCTCCTGTATAGGAGAGATGAGGGGGAGGAGGGCAAAGCAGGTGATTGATGCCTGCTGGCAAACACAGCCCATCAGGGTCCTGCTGGGAATCTCCAGGGCAGAGAAGGGAGCTCTGGACTAGTAGAGATTAGGCCCGGTCCTGCTCATGGCTCTCAGAGCTCAGAGGCTCTGATTATCTCTGCTACCCCAAGGAGATCTGTAAAAGCCAGGATCCACCCCCAACCCAGATCCAGTTCCTTCTCACTACTAGGCCAAGCTACTGGCCAAGTCCCGTGGGCTGAAGATGTTTTGAGTGAGGCTTGAACTGGTCTGTACCTGCAGCATGTACTCGAACTGATAGATGCAGAGCCCCAGCTCGGCCATGCTGGGCTTGAAGAGCTCCCGTAGCCGATACTCCTGCATCAGGCGCACGAAGACGCAGAAGGCCTCTTCCTCAGGCATCTGGGGGTGGGTTGGAAAGAGACGTGGCTCTGTGTTCACCTCTCAGTGCAGCCCAGCGAGGAGCTGAACTTCCCCAGAATGAGGCCAGGATGTGGAATGCAGGTGAATGTACTATATTTACTCACGTTACGTGCCCCTAAATAAGCTCTGTGCCTTGTTTTATGTGGCAGTGAAGAAAAAAAATCTCTTTCCTTGACGTGTTTTGCCAGGGAAAAATACAGTGTGTGTGTGTGTGTGTAACACACACCAGCAGGTGCAGTGTGCATGCATGTGTGCAGGGAAAAAAATATGCAAGTGCAGTGCATGAACATGTGTGCGCAGGGTAAGTACACAGGTAGGTGCACCATGTGTGCATTTGCAGGGAAAACACACAGGCAGGTGAAGTGTGTGTGCGCATGCATGTGAGCAGGGAAAAAAAGATGCAGGTACAACATGCATGTGTCTGTGCACATAAAACACACAGGGAGGTGCAGTGTGTGCAGGGAATATACACATGCAGGCACCCCAGCAGGGTGTCGGAGCCCGCCCCTGCCCTGATCCCACACACCCTGGATGTGAAGAAGCTGCTGCTGCCAATGGCAGAGGTGCCTGTGGCAACAGGGAAATGGGTAGGGGGTTAGCAAGTGGCTGGATGCAAGGCTGGCGGTAGCAGCCACGGAGTTGCCATGGCTGCTCCGCCCAGCTCTGCAGGGCCTCCCAAAGCACAGGACCTGGGGCAGTCACCCCGATTCACCTCCCCGCCCTGGGACAGCCCTGCAGGTGGAACATGCGTGTTCAAAAGTCTGTTCAAAAGTCACAGGGAGGTGCAGTGTACATGTGTAGGGGAGGAATTGGGCTGGAGGGGGCGGCACAAAGAACCTGTGGCTATTCTGTTAACCCCCTGCTCCAGATATGCAGGCACCACAAGATACCCACCTGGCTCAAGAGAAGGAAAAAGTGGGTCCAGGCAGTTGGGTTCAAGTAGCAACACTTGCCCGAGTCAGCTGAAACCAAACTGCCAAGTCCCACCCCTCAAGCTGGGTGGATCTTCAGCTGACTTGGCAGATGTCACTGACTCGATGGGCTTCTTCAGGATCAGGCCCTCTGCTCCCCCCATTTCCTCACTTAAAGGCACGTGCCTCTCCCCTCTCCAATTTCCAGCAGTTAATTTTCAGAGGCAGAAAGGTGCACATCGTATGTGGGGAAATATGGCATATGGGCACAGGCACGCTACTTCAGGCTTATCTGGAGAGGGGAGGAAAAAGCTCCCAGACTTCTTTCCTGCCTGTTCTTTATTGGCTTCAGGGTGTGAACCTAGGGCCAAAAAAACCCACCAGGGAGGAAACAAAGCTATCAGAAACCTCCCACAAGGGTTTGGCCAGCTCCAAAGAGGGTCTGACTACTGCATTAAGCCCATTGATTCACCTGTGAAGCATGAGAGATTTTGAGCCACTGCTTGCCAGAACAAGCTACTCTACTTTAAAAGAAAATGCTTCAGAATTAAGTTAACAGGGCCATGAAGGCCATGCCCCTGTGCCCAGAAGCAGGAAGGCATCATTTTAATCTTACTGGAGAGCTTTTTGTGCATGTTGGCAGAACTAGGAAGGAGTCAACCAGGCTCCAGCTGGCTGGGCATGCACTGCAGAAGGTAGCTGACTCAGCCCCAGGCTGACAGTAGGCAGGGGGGCTCTGGTGAGCCATCAAACCTGTAGAACAAGGCCAAATTTCTGGAGGGTGTTAACAACCCTGTTAATTGCTCTGGGAAGTGCCTGGGGCTGGCGGCTGCTGTCTTGTGGTTGGATCACACCCACCTGCATTAACAGCAGTCCCACGATGAATGCACTGCCCTGACAGTAGCCGACCTCACGGTCCACCAGGGAGTAGGCCTGGAAGAGAGCCAGCAGCTGGCTGGGTTTCGGTCCCAGGGATACACATGTAGTCTCCTCTAAGGACCAGGAGGAAGGTAGGAACACCGAGTGGTTTGTAGCCAGAGGGGAACACGCAGGCCAGGGGCTTTTTTCAGGGCCAGGATTAGCTTGAGCATCTCTGCTCCATGAACATGCCACAGCAAGGATCCCATCCAGGGCTGTCCAACTGGCAGCCCACTGGGGGATAACTTGCAGCTTCAAGTCCAAGTGCTGCTCCCTACACTGCTCTCTGGGATCCCCCTCTCCTCCAGCTTCTGTTTCCTTGCCCCTGGGGCCAGGGAGACCAGGCATGCAGGCACCTGTGGGGCACCTGTGAAGCATAGGGCTGGGAAGCTGTGTCCCTCAGGCATGCAGACATGGGACAGCTCTCATCTAGCCACTGCACCATCAGAAATGTGTCATAGATGATCACTTGCCCCACTACCTTCAGGGATCATAGCATCTTTATTGCTACTGCTGCTGCACCTGGCAAACGGGGAAAAAGCACACAGCAAAGCTGTTTGAACCCTCTTAAGCTCAGCCACACAATAGGACTGGGGTAGCACCTTGTTCAAGCTGCTGTGCAACCATGTAGGAGATGGGAAGGAGTCTGGCAGGTCCCCAGAGCACAGCTGCAGCATGAGAGCCTCTTCTGGAGGTGCCATTTCTCCATGCAACATAGTTGAAGCCCAAAGAAAACCCAGAGGGGAGGATGGGGCTAGGCTAATTCACCACCTTTATTCAAGATGATATGGGAAGGTTGGGGGTGGAAATTAAGAGAAAACTCATTCATTCCAGCCAGATGCATGGCACTGGGTTCCCTGAAGGCAGTGTTCCCAACCTTAGTAGACTCCAGGCCCCCCTTGGAAAATCCCAGCTTTTTGCTTTCACTTATTCTCCTGTAGTCAAGAAACACTAGAAGAAGCCTCCTGTTGCAAAGAACTCTGTGAGACCATGATAGGGCAAAAGGATTTTGACTCTATGGATTCCTATTGAGAATATCTGGGTTTCTCTTGTGAATCGTGTGTAGGTATCTGCACACCTGACAGTGCTAATATTTTGCGGCACCCCACAACACCCTTAAGAGGATCTCATGGACCCCAGTTGAGAAATCAGTGCACGAGGGAGATGGGCTTCTGTTCTCTCCTCAAGGCACATGTGAGACAGGTACTGAGAATGGGGCATCAGCAGGTTTCACCAAGCGAAGAAGCTATCTGCCAAACAGAGCAGCTCCGAGGCCCAGGCTCTTCCACCTCCCAACACTGTGATGTGTGGGGAGGAACGGCCACACTCTTCCCTGGCCGACCACCACTGTCTTTTCCTGTCAGTAGTGTGCTAGGGACAAAGGCCTGGTTCAGGGGGTCAGTCATGAGGTAGGGAAAAAAAAAAAAAATCATAGGCAGAAGAGCCATGTGGTATAAAAGCAAGGGGCTCTTCAAGTCAGGCTGACCAGTCCCCAGCAAGGTGGATACTTCTTCATATTTGCCTGCCAGTACCACAGATTCTCTTCCCCTGATCTCACACCCAGCTGTGTTCTCTCTGCTTATAACCTCGTCCTTAGGAGTAAAGGTCTCGAGTTCAGTTTGATGCAACAGCAATCTTGGGTGCCCGACTAGAATCCAGCTTGCCTATGACAAGAATGGCCCCTACAGGACTGGGATGGGATGTCACACACATCAGTGCATCCAGCCTGTCCTAGTGAGTCTCTGGGCTCAAAGCAGTCAGGAGTACATTACCAGCCGCAGTCTGGAAGCACCATCACAAGCAGCCCTGGCTGGGAGCCTTGGAGTGGGTTCCCCAAGGGCCCTCAGAACAGGGTAGGATGCAGCCAGGAGATGCTGGTCTTGTGGCTGCCAGGGTAAGACTAGACTCGGCTCCCAAATGGGGCATTTCATAAGTGCTTTGGAAGCCTTGGACTTGCAAAGGCTGCAGTTCCCAGAGGAGCAGCCAGGCTTTCATCCATTACCACCTTACTTTGCTCCATTTCCAGGGAAAGCAGGAGAACTTTAGAGCCCACATACAGCCTGCTCGCTGCCATTTGTGAAGCAGGACATCAGAGAACAGCATAGACATCTGGGCTGCGGCAGAGGTCCAGAGATCATAATGAGACATATAATTCAAGGGAAATTGCTTCTTGCGCCTTAATTGTTTCATGGGTTCGGTCTTCTGGAGCTTGTATTTTCTTGTTTGAATTTCCCTTTCAGGCTAGGACTTACCAGGTAAAAGCATTTGATCTGGAGGGGTGGGCAGGCTGCAGGTCTCTGCATCAAAAAGGTGTTGCATGTTTGACATCAGCACTAAGAAGACTGGGTAGGAATGGGCCTTGCTTAAAGAATCTCTCCACTCCTGGCAACCGGCAGCTACAGTGCAAAAAGGTGGATTCTAGTTGGCCTCATAAGCCATCACTAGGGAACAGAAAAGGTGAAAAAGAGCAGGAGTTTTCAGACCCCTGCCCAGGCCTTGCTGGAAGTAGAAGGGTCAGGTTTGATTCTGTTAACCAACATCAAGTGACTACAAGAGTGGTGGGGCAGGGACGTGAACAAAGATGCACCATTAACCTCTCAGCCTGCTGAGACAAGAGATCTTGGTTTCCAAAGTTTTTGATGCCCAGAAAGAAACTGCTTATGTTGGGGAGTCCTGGACACCCCTCACCCTTTGCTGCTGTGCTGGGTGTCACTACATTCCTCCTCCCAGACACTGATTCCAGAAGCAGTTCAGTCTGAAATCACACCCATTAGTATGTGAGATGAGGAGGATGGTGAGGGACTGTTTCAAGGGAGCCGAGATGCATAGGCTGGTTCATAAGGCAACTCCAGGAAAGAACAAGGGTCACAGGTTATGACTCAGTTTTCCTGCTCTCTACTTCACTGGCCAAGAGATTGTTCTCTCAGAGAAATGGGTGAGAATGCAGACATCTGAATCTGTATAAAGCTCCAAAAGGCAGAGGGATAGGAGTCTGGAACTTGCCTCAAACCATGAAGACAGATTATGGAGGGGCCTAAGATCTCACCACCCACTAGTGAGTATGCCTGTATATTCTCTGCTGTACTGTACATAGTTGCTTTTGGCCATGTTGCTCAATTACTAATATCCCAGTAAAATAGTGCATCACTAGGAGGAACTTGCTTTGGCTTCTCTTGTACTTCTCTGGTTAAAACAACAGCCTCCAGCACCATCTTAGGTGTAAGAGACTCTCCTCCCCTTTCCACAATGCTTTGCAGAAGGGTTCTACAAGCCAACAGCTCCCTTTCCCCCTCCACGAATGTGTGAGTTCATGCCCTAACCAGAGGCAGGCACAACTTCTCCAAAGCCTCCTTCCTGGTAAGCTGAGCCACCAACCTGGCTTGCTTTTAACATTCCTGTTGCTCTAGGTGTCCTCTGTCACAGACTCATCAATCAAACCAGCTAATGAGCCCCACAGAGCTACCATTGAGTCATCCTTCCTGCCTAACCACATTTCAGAAGGCAGCAGAATGCACAATGACACCATTGTTGCTCATAGGCAAAGGTCTCAGGCCAGGCCAGTGATTCTCAGCTAGGGTGAAGTAGCACCCCCAGGTGCTGCAAGATCCTTTTAAAAGTACTGCACAATATGAACAGTGTTAGGTGTGCAAACACCTATCAAGATTCACAAGATAAATCCAGAGATTTCTGATAGGAATCCAGAGTGTCACTAATCTGCTGTGGTTCGAGTTCTTTGTAACAGAAGAACTGATCTAGGATTTTTCTGTAGCCAAGAAATGAGAAAAGGCAAAGAGCTGGTATTTTCTGAGCCTCCCCCCTGGTAAGACAAATAAGGGGCAGGCCCTTGAGGCTAATGAGATTAAGAACCACTGGGCTAGAGGATGACTCCATGGTGGACACTCCTTCTCTTACCTTCATGACATTGAAGAGGACCTCCTGACCCAAGCTGTCCTGCCCCTTGAAGAACTCATGCTCGGGGTAGGTGCGGGCAATGTCCCTCCGAATAAGCTTCTCACAAGGCGAAGACATCTTTAGCAGCTCTGAGTATTGGTTCTTAACTGGCATGTCCGTGGCGCTGCAAAGGAGCTGCCACACGATGGCGCGGAAGTGGTGCGGGATTCCTTTTCGAATCAGCTCCTGGGGAGAAGCAAAAAAGTCAGACCACGGAAAGCCAGCAGGGGAGAAAGGTCTCAGGGCCTGGGGGGTTATGCGGCCCAATATGGTGCTAGATGACTAACGGCTGATGTTCTGCATGTGAACAGGGCTGCCATAAAGAGGGAGAATACCTCTCCTCTCTTGCTACAGATAATAGGACACGGACAAATGGCTTAAAGTTACAGCAAAGTCAGTTTAGATTGGATAATCAGCAAAAATTTCACTGTTAGAACAGTGAGGCAGTGGAATAGATGCCCAGGGGAGTTATGGACTCTCCACCACCGGAGGTGCTCAAGAACAGGTTGGACAGCCACTGGTTGGGGACAATCTAGGTTTCTGGGCTTTACTTGAGTATAGTTTGCTAGTTGCCCCTCTACCCCTTTCTGCTACATGCATCAAAGGTGCTTTTAAGCCTTCCTCAGGGGAACTGGGTGTTGGCTGCAGCCAAGGCTGGGGATGGCAACTAGGCTGTGCCAGTGCTCCTGCTGGGACTCAAACCCAGAGGGTCCTGCTGCTCTGCTCAGGGTCAGACTGGTGTCAGATTTGGGATCAGGAAGGAACTTTACCCTCTGGTCAGATTGGTACAGATTGGGGGGTGGGGGTACCTTCCTATGTAGTAGGGGACATGGCTCTTTACCTGGGATCTCTTGAGCATTTATTAACAATCTTTTTATAGCCACAGGACATTGGCTGCTGTGGTTCCCCTGCTTTCCCTGGGGCAGGTTCAGGTTTGACATCTAGTGTTGTGTCAAGGTTCACAGTAGTTTTGCTTAGAGGTTGGACAATGGATTTGTCTGGGGTGGGTTAGACAAGAGCTGATCCTGCCTTAGGCAGGGAGTTAGACTAGATGACCCCTGGAGGTCCCTTCCAGCCCCACTTCTCTAAGACTCTATGATCATACTAAAGCCAAGCTGGAAGGGACTTCCTGAGGTCACATTTAGCTCAGCCTCCTGGCTCATAGCAATATCAACCCTGACTAAATCAGCCCAGCTCAGTGTCTGTCTAACCTGCTCTTGCACATTTCCAGGGATGCAAATTCCACCATTTCTCTGGACAACCTGTTCCAATGTTTGACTACTATCCTTAGCCAGGAAGTTACTCCTCATCTCCAGCCTCATTTCCCCCCCGATGCACCTTGAGGGCATTACTCCTTGCCCTGTCCCCTATGGCCATAGAGGGAAGTATAAAGAGGTTGGAGGTTACAACCCTCTTTCAGGTATTTGAAACCCATTATCAAATCCTTCCTGCCTCAGCCTTCTCTTCTCCAGACTAAATAAAACCCAGGGGGCTGTTAGCTTTTTTGCAACAAGAACAAACTATTGGCTCATGTTCAGCATATGGTCCCTTGTCCCCCCCAGGTTCTTCTCTGCAGTGCTGCAACCCAGCCAGTGATTCCCCAGGATGGATTTGCACATGCAATTATTCCATCCCAAATGCAACTTTGCACTTGTTGATTTGGGACCATTTCTCCAGTCCATCCAAGTCATTCTGGACCCCAGCTCCACCCTCCAGAGCATCTGTGACTCCAACCCAACTTGGTGTCATCTGCAAATTTGCTAAGATGGAAGACTGTGGCCAGCTTGGAGACATCCAGCTCTTCTTACCAGTGTGGATGGGTGGGAAGAAGAGATGGGGTTCATTTTTGGATGCTCTTTGATTCCAGCAGTACTGGGAAGGGGCAGGAGATGGGGGATACCTGCACTACCAGTCCCAACCCCCTCCCAAGCCGTCCCCTCCTTCTCACCTTCAGCAGTTTCTCTTTCTTCTTCCGCCACTCATCCCACTCATTGACAATCCTCCCCCACAGGATCCAAGTGTCCTCCTCCAGGTGGCTCAGATTGGAGGAGGCTGAGGAGCTGGAGACTAAGGAGGAACCGCTGTTCCTGCGGGAACCATTCATGGAGCGCATGGACTTGGAGTCCGCTTCCAGCAGCCTACACAAGATGGGACCACCATGATGAGCGACCACCACCAGCCACCTTCTCCAGCATCAGGAGCAAAGACATCAGAACATCCATATAGTTAAGCATGCCCCCTTCCCTAAGCAGTGTCATATGGGGTCAGAACAATGGCCCATCCAGCCCACAGCTGGTCTTCAACAGTAGCAGCAGTAGATACTTTGAGGGAGATCACATGAACTGGGTATATCTACAGCACAGGTACTCAACCTCTGACACAGGCCCACTGACCCATATCATCCTATCCACACAGCTCCCCACAGGTCTGGAAATTTGGTGATGGGGAAAGTAATGACAGCAGCTCGCCCACAGAGTGACCCTGCATAGGATCTGGCCCACAGACAGACCCATGCCACTCATCTGGCCCATGGGGTCCACTGATCTGGCATGCTCTACCCCATCACTGGTCTGCAAATGTCAGGGAAATATCCCTGACTTCTCTGTTCAATATTTATGAATTCATCTATTGTCCGTGGATATATGTCTAGTCTCCCCTGTTTGATTTGTTGCTCTGCTCTCTCTCCCCAATCCACTGCTTGCCATGCACAGAGGCTGCCCATGCCACTTATGGCAGGCTGGTGACCCCGGTTTTAAACCATTTTCCTTGCTCATTTCAGTGGTTGTGCCCTAGTTCTTCTTCCACTAGAAAAGAGAGTTTTCTCAAAAGTCATTAGCCTGAAGCAACCCAGGTCAAGGGCAGAAGTAAGAAGAGAATCCATGGGATAACTTAGTGGTTCTCTCATTAAGATTTAAGAAAAGCTAAAACCTGTGGGGATTGCAGGAAAGAACTGGACTCCAAGGGACTCTATCATGGAACATCAACTTCTTTATCAGGCGATCTATACAAAGACTAACTAGAGCTGTAGGTGGGTTTCCCCCCACCCCCAAAGCGGTAGTTTACACTGAGTTGAGAGCAAACTCTGCATTCCTCAGGAAGATTTTTGCTCCTATCTCCTCCACATTTTGACTTTTGAACACTTCCTTCTGCCACCCTGACAGAAGAAGCCAGCCTTCAAATATAGGAACAGAGTTAAGTTAACTTGAATCAGCCACTTCACTATTTCCAGATCATTTTAATAATGTTTCAAGTGTCCCAAATAATCTGGGTTAAGGTATTCAGCCCAAAAGCCCTGGTAGTATACTCAAGTAAAGCACTGTGCATCCAGGAATGTGACCACCTGACTATTCATTAACACAGTAAGGCCTGTAAAAAAGGAAAGAGTAACAAAAGATCAGGCTTTAGGCCAAAAGGCTGAGCTTACTCATGGAATTCCCCCCAACTCCCAAATGCTTAATTTCACAACACTGATGTGAGGGATCTTTGTGTTTAAATGTAAAGAGAAGCAGGTGTCTGGAGGTTATCTGCTCACACACCTCACCAGCTCTTTCGTTACTTGGCATACTGTTGTACCATGGGCAAATTCACCTCATTTCAGAAAGGTAAGTTCAGAGTAAGTTTGGGCCGAGACTAAATGAACAAGCTAACAGGTTAAGGAGTGCTACGGGAAGTCAGAACACCCTTATGACTGCAGCAACTGAATACTGGAGGCAATGCTAGGATCCAAGAAATGCAACCCATTTCACTGGGTCTGGACAGCAATCAGTTCAAGTAGGTCCCAAACCTAGTTATGGGTTGGAGCAATTCCCACTTGAAGATGCTCTGTTACCACATGGCCGTTTCAAGTCACTGCATGCTGGACAGTGCAAAAGTCAGCCTGACTCTAACAAAGTTGATTGAGCTGGGGCAATATAAAGCAGAGGTTGTTTAGGCTTTCAAGATTTACAGCACTGAAGGGTAAAGTGCTTTAAAAAGAAACTGAAGAGCAAAGCAAAGAAGAAAAATACTCACCCTATAGTAACATGCTGGCATGCACTTCATGGGGGGTAGGGAGGTTGAGACGCATGGCATAACATGACATGTTTAACAGCTGATGAAGGGAAGTTAAGGGAGACCAAGAAAGGAGTGGAGCTGCAAGGGATCACCATAATTCTCACATAGTGAGGCCTGGAATATAAAACACACCTTACTTTTGAAAGGCAGAATGAAGACAAAAGATTTTCCAAGTGTTACAGCTGCATAGAACAAAGACAGAATCTCATCTTCAGTTGATTCACCCTCTCCTTTCCTGTGCAACTAAAGCTGAATCCCCAGCTGCTTGTAAAATCTCTATGGGTGGATGTACAATTTTGAAACAAGCTAAAGAGTCCAAGCTAAAAAGTCTAGGAAAGAGAGACCAGAAGCAACTAACAGCCCTGAGAAAAGTTAGCTTAATTAGTGGAACATTAAGATTATTAAAAAAGGAGAAATGATCATTAACACCTGTGGAGTGAAGAACAATGAGCCATTAAATTAACTCACTCCCTGAGCTGCCCAAACAATAATATCACAGCTGCTGCCCTGTGGAACAGGAATCAAACCAGGGTGCTTCCAACCGCAGCTTCTCCATTTAATATACACATCCTGATCTGGAAAGGGGGGGGGCACTGATTTTGTGGGGGGAATGGTTTGTAGCGTATGTGAGAAAATATGGTGACAAGCAGGATGCAGTGAACCAGTATTGTGCCTCCTCCTAGAGATACAAGGGTTCGTCAGCCACCCCAAGGGCTTGGGACTTTTGCTTTCCATTTCGTCTGAAGCTCTTTATTGTTCTGAGCTCCTGACCCTTTACACCAGGATTCTACAGGGTTTTATATCACCCCCTGCTTCTCCAACCGTTCTGCCAGGGCTTGCAGCCAGCATGGTTTCTTTTCAAACATACATCAGAAGTCTTCCTCTCTTGCTGAGTTCCAGAAGACCCAGGTACATCCCACACAGACAGAGGGGTGGAAGGAAATCTATAACTAAGCTCCCAAATGAGATGACAACCGCCTTGAGTGTGGGGCAGGAAGGATACTGTTAGCTCAAGGGCAAGGCCAGGCTGCACTGTTTTACTGCTGGATCTAAGAATCAGGGATCTTGCTACAGAGTTGAGAAATCAGGGGATTTCACTACAGAGAATATCCCCTTCTAGACATTCTCAGAGGACGGCAATTCTTTAAATCTTGCTGATGAGAACTTGGAATATTTTGTGGCCAAGGAGAACCCAGAGAGGAGCAGAGTGGAGATTGAAGGACCCAAAACAATCTGGGGTGAGTCTCTAATACATCAGAAATGGTATTGAGCCTGAAGTCTTTCTGGCTGCAAATGTATCATGATATTAGTGTTACCTTTCTAATCTCCCATTCAGCCACTTACAGATTCAAGGTCATTGAAGAGACTCTGACTTTAAGGAGGCCAGTATCAACATGCTCTATGTGCCCCATCTCCACTGCTGGTCTGATACCTTGTGTCACACTGCCCTCTGAGTCATCCAGGCAGGAGCTGCCTCTACCCACAAGTAGCTGAGACCCAAAAACAGTATTTGCCTTCGAGGTCAAAATGGTTACAGACTGGATTGTTCAATGCAGGTCTCTCCTCCCACGGAGGGAGGGTGCCCTGAACCATGAGTAGGAGGCACTGAAAGGCAGCATTTATGGGCTAGCGCTGGAATGATGCAAAGGCAACAGATTCCAGAACCTCTGGGCATTGCTGGGCTGGGGCAGACCATACTAAGGAAATTGGAAAGGTTTCCTCATCTCTTCTGGGATGGCCTCAGTGGCTGTTCTGAGCCAGAGAACACATGTCCCAATTGGGTGCAGATCTTCTTCCAGCCAGATTGTAAACAAAAAAGGGAGCTCCCTGCTCAAGTCAAGTCCTCAGAGCTATGAACGAATTGATAAGAAAAAAAAAAATGCCTTAGCCCAGGCCTGTCCAATGTATTTGGCTCTGCCAACCGGATCTGGATCACAGGGCTCTCAAGGGTTGGATGACTTGCGTCTAGCAGCAGGGCAGTGGTTCTGGCACCTGTCCCACAGGTCACAATTTAACCCCTTGCATGCTACAAGCTGCCAGTAGTGCAACTCTGTTCTAAACCGATTTCTGCCAACCTCCAAAATTGCATTTAAAAGGGTTTTCTTTAAAAAGACACTGGAGTTTCGTGGCCTGGCTCTTAGTAAGGGGAAAAGAAGAACACAAAGCAAATTTCACTTAGCTGCCTCCTCTCGCAGCTACTTTGAAATGATTCAAACCACTCTCATGTGGGTGCTTGCTATGGAAATGGGTGTGCCTTAGGTGCACTAGCCCTATGACCAGCCAGTTTGGGCAGACCACCGATTGGATTTTGATTTTTGTTTGTAGACGCTTTAAAGCAGCAATTCTCAACTAGGGGGATGCAGCACCCTGATGTGCTGTGAGACTCTTTTAAGGGTGCCCTGCACTGTGCAAACGCCAGCACATGATTCATAAGACCAAGCAAGAGATTTTTCATCAGGAATCCAGAGTGTCTAAACAATTCTGACCTGCTGTGGACTTGCCAAGGTCTTTGCAACAGATGAATTGCTCTAGGATTTTTCCTGTAGTCCAGAGCCGATGAAGCGGTGCCTTGAGTCCAAGAAAAAGTCATTTCTTAACCATCCGTCCTAGTCCTTCCATCTGACAGGCAACAAACAGATCATGTTATTTCAGTGCAATTCTTCACCTCTGTCTTCTGGGAAGCTAACAAGTAAAGACTGCTTGTATGGACACTCAAAAGGAATTCCAGCCTCTGTGATGCAACATACAGACAGCGACAACAACTGCAGCCTCTGTATGTGAAAGGGAACAAGCTGAGTAAGGAATCCGATGTCTACCTTTCCTCATAAGGTTTTGCAAGCTTGAGCTACATAAGGCTCTTTCTGCTCCCGGCCACTGAACCCTGTGTTGGGGTTGCGTGTCAGAGATGACAAATTTGCCCGTCTTCTAAAAACAGGTGCGTGATGACAACAGGAGAATCATTCCCCATCAGAAGCTATGGAGAAGGCAGGTATGATATTTGTCAGCAAAGCACCTGCCAGTGGTCAGATGCTCCCAGAGGTCCATGTCTATAGATCTCACAAGAGTTAGGTCTATGAGTGAAGTCTGGCTCACAGGCAATGCTTGCCCTCCTTAAGAAGGAACCAAGCAGCTGTCTCCAGGGCCTGGATTTGACCCAAAGTAATTAAATTTCCCACTAGGAAGGCAAGCCCAATTAGCCTGTTTCACAGATGGGAGGAATGAGGCACAGGGTAGTCATCTTGCCCAAGGCTACAGTCTCAAGTTCAGCAGCTGGAATCCTGATGTATCAACTCCCAGTCCAGCTAACCAGGAAACGGGCCTGTTATTATGGTGCCGAGGACCCCAGGTACTGTGCTCAGTGGATGCGCTCATGTAACCAGCTCCTGGAGCTGCAGCTACTACAGGGGCATCTTAAGGGAATATCAGGAAGAAGGACATCAGATCAGCAGACCAGGTAACGCAGCCTGGCAAGGATGCACAGAGCTTTTAAATCACTAGGTCTTTGGAATGAGCATGAACTTTGCAAGTAAATATGGTATTGGCCAAAGAGCATGCACCTTCCTTCAGCAAAAGCAGCTCTCCAAAACTGCGGGGCATCTTAAGCAGGCAAGCTGATTTTCGGCTTGGAATAGAAGTTTATCTGTTCCCCCCTCCCCGCTTGGATTCCTAGTCCAGTCTAGTAGTAGTGGTGGTATTTCTAGTCAGACAGCTGACAGAGTCTTTTGACCTCATGGCTCATAGTTCTTCACTCCACAGGTGTGATCATCTCTCCTTTCTACTTCTCTTGATGTTCCACTAACCAAGCTAATCTTTCTTCTGGCAATTTTGCAGTCCACTTGCTATTCCTGGTCTCTCTTCTCCTATTCCGCAGCCTTGCATAATGTTTTTCACTCTTTTCAAAATTGTAGATGTGCCCATGGAGACCAGTCCTCAATAGCAGCTAGTTTCAGCTTTTGGTTAAGCAAGACAGGGAGGGTGACAGAGTTGAAGATTAGGCTCTGTCCCTGCTCTACAAAGCCATGTCTCTAGAAAATAAAAGGCCCTTTTTTTGCCCTTCATTTTGCTTTTCCAGAAACAAAGTGTGGGTCTCACTTAGCAGGGCACACCTGCTAAAATGTGAAGGAATTACAGTCCTTGATCACTGATCTACTGGACGGCTGCGGGGGGTCTGGGTGGGAAGGACTTGGGCAGTTCCAAAGGCATATCCTTGTTGTTAACTGGGCTAAGGTGCCCTTTCACTGGGAGAGAGCAGAGATATCCTTCAAGCACACACACTCCTTGGCTTATAAGTTACCTCTTGTCACCTTGGGGCTGCTTCAGCCATAGTTACAGGTAAAAGCATAACTGCCTAACCTGTTCTGCTCCTCCAGTTTTGCCAGCAGCTCCAGCTCATCAGGGCTCAAGTTCTCAGAGTCTGAGGTTGGGGAGCAGGCTGGTGCTGAGTTGACAGATGAAAGGGCCTCATGGGAGGAGGAGTCGGGGCTGACCGCCGGGCTCGCCATCTCAGGAAGGCTGAGGGTCACAGGGACATTCATTCGCAAAACCCACAGGAACACCCTGTAGGTAGGTCAGGGCTTCACCTGGAAGTGAAAAAAAGCAGCATTAGCATCTATCACCAGCACCAAGGGTGGTGTCAACCCTGCGCTCACCCCAACAGCCTCAGCTTTCACAGCAGTTGGCTCCTCTATGTCCCGCTGAATCGTAATGCTACTCTAAACCAATAGCAGTGCCAATTAATAAGATCACCTGCATCTCTGAGCTCCAGGCCCATGCTCCATTAGAAGTCAGTGAATTGCCTGTTGCAGATTACTGTGTTCAACTTGGCTTGCCCACGGCATTTTCTGTGGTCTTTTCCAACAGCAGATCTCCATCTGGGCAGAAAAGACCATCTCTCCAGCACTTAATGGGCTTCAGACTCTCTGCTATAAGGGAGAGCTAGAAGGTAATTTTAAGTCTGTTTTGAAACCATCTTAGCTGAATGGATGCTGTGGACCAAGCTAATTTTGACCCAGGCTTATGTGCGATCATCTCTTCTTCATAAAGGAGTTGAACTGAACCTAGTTACCAAGATGTGTTTACTCCTAAGAAATCATAGAAAAATTGCATTGGAAGAGACCTTCAGATATTGTCTACTCCAGCAATTCCAAAATTCTGAGAGATGGTGCACCATCAATTTAAAACAATACAACCTTAAGTACTACCAGCAAAAGTTTGTCATGTAAAGTAATTATAACAAATCTGTTAACACACCACTGTCAGGGTGTCCATGTACCACTGGTGGTACCCATACCACAGATTGGGAACCGCTGATCTAGTCCTACCTGAAGCAGGATTAGCCCTATTCAAACCATCCTATACAAATCTATAATTTAAACTCTTCATAAAAATATTGTGAACCCTGACAATACAGGATATCACACCCGAACCTGCCAGGGGCAGAGCAGGGGAACCACAGCAGCCAATGCCCTGCTCCTTTAAAAGGTTAATATAGGCTCAAGAGACACCAGGTAGAGGGCCATACCCCTGCTAAAGAGGAAGTGTTTTTAGTACCCTGGGATGAAGTTCATCAGGCCCGGCTGATTTAAATTCATTCATTCACTCCTGTGCTAATCTGTTTAATTATATCAGTTTAACACTTCCAATACCTACCCCCACCATACTACCTCGACAAGCATCCCAACCAGCCTGCCCTGTACACCCACCCCTCCCCCCCCCACACCCCTTCCCTACTTCCAATACACCTCATACCCCTCCTGCAGCCTCTCCCGAACCGAGCTGTCCCTCACCCCGGGCAATAATTATATCACAGCAACTCCGAATGCTGACATGACTATCACTTCCAGCTAGGGAAGCAAATCAGTATGAACTCCAGAGGGATCATAACCTCTACTTGAAAAAAGGAAACCCCCTGGGTTTTTCATGGAGGACTCAGAATACCAGGCCTAATACTCACAGCTTCTGATGAGTGATGCATAACTACCAACTATATTATCTATCCTCCATACTCAGCCCTCAACACTGCAGCATTCAAGTCCCTCATAATCATCTGTGCTTCACAGGGCAAGGTTCATGTGAAAGCCAAATCTGATTTAAGATCTTCCAGATGGAAGTCCCTCACAAATCATTCACACTCCCACCACCCTCCTCCATTCATGAAAGTTCAGTAATTCATAACAGGCAAAGCCTCAGTGGAAGTCTGGGGGGGGAACGGGAGGGGGTGGGGTGGAGCGGGAGATGATTGGTTGGGTGATGGCAGTAGGGCAGCCTCAGATATTGATATATGTTTTACTGGCTGGTGTCACAGCTTTCAGGTTGCTGAAATGTGGTTTCATTTGTGAGTTACTTCTGGATTTTAGACAAATCCTTCCCAGGAAAGGAGAAAATTCCAGTGACTGAGATGGCATGGTCCACAGAGTCTAGTTTATGCTTCACAAGAACATTAGCAGCACGTAGAAGGATATTATACCCCTCCTTCAGCTTGGTTTCTGGCTGACCAGTGCAGACTAGAAGGCAGGTCAGGAGAAGTTAAAAGTTCTGTGGAAGGCATCAGAACATTGGGGGTCTGTTCAAGAACATCCTGATATGGATGGAATCGGTACAACCTGTTGTAGCAGCAAAAAGCCCCTAGGATGACATGAACAAGCCTGAAACAATACATGAGTAGGGGATGCTGAACAGGTTCATGAACTGATAAATAGTAAAGGCACATGGCACCAAAAGTGACTGACCATGAGGAAAGCATGTAGTATGATACAATCAAAGCAGGGTACAATAGACATAAAGGCTCATTATAAAGATAGTTAATGAGCAAACTGTAATATGCAATAATGCAGGCTTGATGCAAGGCCTTTTAATGTAGAGAGTAGAATGCAAATGTTCTTTACATTTGGGTTTAACGTGCCACTAGCCCTGCTGTTGCCCAGTCTGATGACCTAGAAGACAGTATGAGTAGAGTCATGGCGACAGTTAAACAAATGTAGAGCTAGAAGGGACTTTGAGAAGTCATCTAGTCCAGTGGTTCTCACCATTTTTGGACCAGGACCCATTTGTAAATATCAATGGACAGTCCCTACCCAGTGCCCCTCCCTCCCTCCCTGCTGCTCCTTACCCCCAGACCCTAGCCCCCCAAAGGTGTGGATGTGTGTGGGGGCGAGGGGGGGGGAGGGCCAAGCATCCCCTTACAGACTGCAACTCTGCCAGCATGCAAGGGGAAAAAAAAAAAAAAAGTCAGTTTCCTTTGTTTTTCTCCTTTAAAAGGAGAATCCATTTTTAAAGTATGCTTCTGACGCTTTCATATAGATGCTTGTAACCCACTTTTGGGTCACGACCCATGGGTTGAGAAACGCTGATCTAGTCCAACCCCCTGCCTGAGGCAGGATCAGTCCTACCCAAATCACCCCAGAGAATACCAACATCTAACCTCTTCACAAAGCTACCAATCCTGACAACACAAGACATCACACTGGAACCTGCCACAGGTAAAGCAGAGGGACCATGGCAGTCAATGTCTTGCTGCTGTAAAATGTTGTTAATATATGTTCAAGAGATTTAAGGAAGAGGCTGTGTTCCCTTGTTGCAGTAGGCAACCCCCCCACAGTCCAAACCAATTTAACCAGGAGATAAAATTCCATCCTGACCCCAAATACGGCACTGGCCTGACTCCGAGCAGAGGAGCTAGACCCTGTACCCAGAAACCTCTGGTTTTAAGTCCCAGCAGGAGCACTGGCACAGCCCAGTCAAAATCCCCAGCCTTGGTTGCAGCCAAAACCCAATGCCTAAGAAACCCCCCTGGACATAGTTAGACGAAGGAGAGGAAAAGCATTCCCTCCTGGCCCCATGGAGCAATCAGCAATGCCGAGAAGCCTGGAAAATCCCCATAGCAGAACATAGGCATTGCTACGACTAGCTCATCCCAGACCAGTGCTTGTTCAACCTCCTCTTGAACACATCCAGTACTGGAGTCCACACCTCCCCTAGGCTTCTATTCCACTGACTCACTGTTCTAATAGGAATTTTTTTCCCCTGATATCCAACCTAACCCTACTTTGCTGCCACTTCAAGCCACTGGACTACATCCTACTCTCTGCAGTGAGAGAGAAAAGGTGCTTTCCCTCTTCTTTATAGAGGCTACACTAAATGTATACTCACTGAAGAGCTGCTTTGGGCTATCTGAACCATGCTGCAGAAGGCCTAGCAGGACCTTGAAGGCAGCTACAACCAGGCACTCTCTGCTTTCCACAGATGTCAACACAGGTCACAGCTGTCCGGGAGCAAGTGGATGCAGCTTGATTTTTCAGCCTTCTTTGTGCTGCTGCTCTTAAAACGCTGTGTCTTCACAAGGCTGCACCACTGTCCTTTGTCACTGTAGGCAGAAACTGCTGGGGACAAGCAGGAATTCTTATGAGTGATACTGTCTACTGGACTGACTTCTACTAGACCTTAAAATGCTAGAGGGTGCAAGTGGGAGAGGAACAATGGAAAACACCCAGGTCAGACCCAGTTCACTCTCCCTTTCAGCATGCACTCTCTACCACTGTGTGACCCAGGAGCCTGGGCAAGATGGACCTATTTCTGACTCAGTACATGGCAATTCTTACATTCTGACTCCATGGTTGGGACAGACGTAGATAAGCTTTCAGGTATCATACAAAATGTGGTGAAAGCTGAGAGTCTGGTGAGATTCAAGGAGGGACTGGACACATTTCTTGGAGGAAAGGGGTATCAGTAACTATTAGGCATGGGAGTGAGGGGCACAGCATCTGAATCAGAATTTCCTAGACCTTAAATGCTGAAGGCTGCAAACGAGAGGAACAGTGGGAAAACCCTGGTCGGACCCCACTCACTCTCTGCCCTGTTGTGACAAAAAAAGACTGGGCAAGATGGACCTATGGTCTGACCCAGTAAATGGCAGTTCTTATATTCTTACCCTTCCTCCCTTTTCTGGGGCAAAAACCAGAGTGTGGGTTTATTCCCAGGCTAATTTGACTTGCATTAAGACAGGCTAGAGACAGTCCTTTACACCAGCAGCTTGAGTAGCAATTAACTCTCATTAGCTACTAATCACCATTGTCCCAGGGTAAAGTCTTAATGTTTCATGGGTATTTAACATGGAACAATAGGGTTACCCTGTTGTACCACCCCAGGATAACAGGTTTTGTCCCAGGAGAAAACTCCAAGGTCTGATCTGCTTTTAGCTTCAGACACAGAAGAGCTAAGCAACAGAGTGATTGTCAAACTCCCTATATATAGACAAACAGGGTGCAAGATAAATCATCATCAGGTAGCCAACAGGTGATGCACTAAAAACCTAATAATGGAAGAACAAGATTGTTCAGTGGGACAATTAGAACCTGTGAAGTTCACAGTTTAGTGAGCAACAGGCAGATTATAAACAACCATAAAGACGCTATGTTAAATGCCTGGTACTTAGTGTCCAATAGGCTGATGAAATTTCATTCCCAGGCTCCTCTTTCAAAGGCATTTGGCAGATTTTCTTGGTGCAAGAGAACAGGGAGGTCAGAAAGGAAGTGATTTTTCTATAACAAATATTCTCCTACCCGAGTTCTAGCATAAACAACATCATTTCAGCACTGCCAGGAACAACCAAGGGGCACTTTGACCAGAGAGCATGTATTAGAGTTTCAGATGCTGCTCCAAGAACCCTCCTTGCCCGAATCTAAGGATTCAGATTTCCGACACAGGACAAAGAGACAGATGGGCCATCCAGGGTCTTTCTTTGTGCCACAGAACCAAAGGGTTTGAAAAAACAAGTTGAACAAGGAGCCAGGATGTTTGAAAGATTGACAGGCTCAGAGGAGGACCCCTTGCTTTCAAGGCTGCCCTTGGAATGAGAGGTGGACAGCTACCGCCATCACCAAGTGAAGAATATATTCTAGGTTCTTCTGCAGCATTCACTGCTCTTCAGCAGTCTTGAACGTCTTGAAACCCAAGACGTTTTTCTCTGTCAGGGTGGGAGGAGGATTCCTGGAAGGTTTCCGTCTGTCCTAAAGCTGCAATTTAGTTGCTTCTGCCCTATTAAGATGAAGAGTCTGGAACACCCAGCTCAACTGGAGACGTCTGGCAGAGCATGTCGCTAACAGAGAACATGAACACTATACTTAAGTTTAGCAAGTACAGTGCATTCATGGCAGAGCTTGGGGAACAAGTGTAAACAGAGATGTCAGCTAGCTGGTATTCCTAGGAAGTGTAAGGTACTGAATAAGGCCAAGGAGGTTAACACAATATTGCACTGGAGAACTGGGACCACAGCACCAAGATGAGCCTAGATGAGTGGCAGGACATGGTGTGCAGACAGGGTTTAAGCACTTGAATTAATAAACAGCAGATTTAAATTTTCAGAGATGTGTAGCTTCTTTAGCTGCTATGGAGTTTAAACTACTGTATTTCAGGGTGTTTAAGTTGGGTTTTGAAGCCCAGTTTTTAGGGCTGAAAAATCCATCTCGACTTGCACACCGTGCTACATAAAAATCAGGCACAGGATCAGGCTCAGCACTCAACTTGTGCAGCCTCATCCCCTGCAAACCAAACAAAGGCTGAGCCCAGTCCCATCCCGTGAGTGGCGCCA